TCCGAACAAATCAATGAAGTAAAAAATTGATTTAAACCAATATACGAGTTAAAAATTAACACTAAAAATAGACTTGAATCGTAACTTAGTGCGATAACTGATTTTAATCAAAACCGTACGATATAAAATATAAATTATGAATATATCTAAGTGCGTGAAGCTACAAAGCACTACAAAGTTCACAAAAATGAAAAAAAAAAACGTTCCAATAATCTTTACTCTGACTTGTTGTTTGACGATTTGTTTTCCACCAAAATGCTGGTCGCGCCCGATCTAAGTAGAAAAGACAACCTCACTGCTCGTAATGTATGTGTGTAACACAGATAACGGTCCCGCCGGATACAGATCGGATACAGTCGATACGAACAGGAAAGGAATCGGGTTATTTTTCTAAGCATTATTTTGCTAGGATAACTTTAAAATTATCTAGATAATATATCTAATGACGCGATGGGGGGATTTAAGTAAATCCGGACCATGCGGCTGGCGACACCTTGTTTAAAGAAGCGCGATCAAAATAATACAGTAAGAATCGGATCAATTTAATATTGTACGAGTGTTTACAATGTTTACATATTTGAGATTGGACCAGTATTGCATGCCGCCATAGATCTTAAATTAAGGTAGTTGGAGCTGGTCGAAAGGGGAGGTTGGGAAGGTAGGATGCAAAGGGAAATTCGATTTATATCCGTACGCAACGATAAACCATTGCTAACGAAAAACGATTAGGAGCGAACGTTTTGATATATGTTTTGAAAGCCCCTAGTATTTACTATTTTTTTCGAAATTTGATATTGAAATTCTTATAAAATAAAAATACTACGTCATAATCAGTTTTTTTTTTTTTTGGGGGGGTGCCACAAAGTACTACTTATAGTGAACCTTCCGTTAAATTTCACATTGATCTCAAGAATTTTCACTGCTAATTACAGATCTTTGTATTTATCATTGATTTTATTTATTTATATGAACTAACGTCATTCGGCTATTATACAACAAGTATATATGTATACACATTATAGCTGTCCCTGGCCCGACTTTTTCCGCGCCAATTTATATTATTATTATTTTACCCTTCTTCATTTTTGATTTTAGCAGTGTCAGAATTGAATGAAAACAAATGGGTGAAAAGTGGGTAGTCCACTTTCAGCGGACTAAATCTGTTTTATTGTAAAAATTGTATAGTATAAATAACAGTAATAATAATTAAAATAGTTTTCTTTTCCGTGGCAACCAAATTATCATCCGTAACACCAAGGTAACCCTTGAATAAAAAAAAAAATAAATAAATAAGCAAATAGATATTCCTATCAAATATACCTAAAATCCCTATTTTATCGCTTTAGGGGTTGAATTTTCAAAAATTCTTTCATAGTGGAAGCCTACGTCATAATAGCTATCTGTGTGCCAAATTTCAGTCCGATCCGTCCAGTGGTTTAGGCTAGAAGATAACGAATCAGTCAATCAGTTAGTCAGGACATGTTATTTTATGTATATATATATATATATAGATAATATAGATATAGATTGACAATTGTTTATTTATTTATTCTTGTTTATTCAAGGGTTACCTTGGTGTTACGGATGATTATTTGGTTGTCACGGAAGAGAAAACTATTATAATTATTATTATTACTATTATCTACACCATTAAAATTTCACAATAGAACACATTTAGTCCGCCGAATGTGGACTACCCACTTTCCACCTATTTGTTTTCATTCGGTTCTAACACGGCCAAAATCAAAAATGAACGTGGGTAAAATAACACTAATACAAATTGGCACGGACAACGCCTGATGTGGGACATCTAGTTTTATATATGTATGTATATAGATAACAGGTTAATTAAATAGTATAATAACAACATTAACTACAAACAAAAATTGATGTAGTCTTACAGTGATTAATTGTTATTGGCTATGGACATCATTCTAGCTGCTACAGTTATTGGTCAATTTTTTTGTGAAATGTGTTCTACACTTAAGTGGATAAAAAGAACCCTGTAACCTATTGTAATACCTAGAACACGAATGCGGATTTCATTTGCAATTCAGAATTCTGGACTTCATCAAGTTGTAACATATCCTTTTTGGTATAAGGATACCAGATAATAGAGTGGTATTCAAGTTAAGATCAAACTAAGGCATTGTATAACGAAAGAAGACATGTATGAGAGTTGAAATGTTGATAGCGACGCGGAATGAAAACGATTACATGGAACGCCTTACGTGCAATCAAATCGATATGTGATCGAAAATCGAGAGAAGGGACGTAAGGGAAACATAAATCTTTTGTTTTGTTCACACGTAAAAGAGGCTGTCCGTCTAGGCAGTAGGGAAATCTTAGTACATCCCGCGTACGAAAGAAGGACATTACTATGCACTTGCTTATATTAAGCGGTATTCCGACCGTTTTACACCAATCAGTAAATTTATCTAGTACACCCTGCTGAAGAATAGAACAGTGATGACTAGAGCAGCATATACCTCCTGCTGTGGAGACAGAAGTATGCGAAGGGAGAAACGACAATTTAGAAGCTATGTATGTACTTAGTTGGTAATGGAGATTGTACGCGGTTCTACATAGCCCAGAGAAAAATATATTTAGCGAATAGATCAGCTTCCTTATATCCAGAAGCCTTCGGGTCATCTTGATAGACTTCAAATAATAGGTATTTAAAAAATCTAAGGCGCTATCCCAGTTTATCGATCTTAAGTCATTATAAATACTCCCATAGTAATTTCTTTTGAAATCACGAAAAATTTATTGGGTTTATATTGTTTATAATGAGGGGTACATTAAAGGAAATAGACGGGAAATGAAAAGTGGAGGGTGATACGTGTCGCAAGGAATTAAAATGTCGGAGACACGAGTAACATGCACGGTTTGATCAACTGAGAAAATGATTATAACGGAATGAATTTTGAGACGTAGTTTTCAATTAGTAAAATTCAATTTCGTTAACATTATTTTCATACAATAATAATTTACAAAGGTAAAATAATATGGGTACACTTTTACTCCTGGCGTTTTACACTCATGCGAGTAGAAAAAATTATATACAAGGAGTAGAATAGGCAACATATAATACGTGTAACATAAAGATACGGACGTACTTCGCACGGTGGGCGGACCTCTATAATGGGCGAGAGGTTGATAAGGTAAGATATAAGGGAATTATCAAATTTCTTGGTAAATTTCCCTTATCAGTGTTTTTAAGTGATCTACACTCTGTCCTGGCACTTATCGATGGCGTGCAATCACCGTATATATGTACAACAAGTACCAACTTTGGTACATAAATCAATGTATTATTGACGTTATGGATTAAAATAATATCGCGTCGAGACCGGGGCTATATAATGTTCAGTTGTTCGCCGCGAAATGGATGCATAAACGCAAGAGAATAAACGACGGCAAAGGCAATAGCTAACGTTCGACGGCGGAAATAATAATATTATCGTTATTCGGCACTCGGGCCGCACCCGTCCATGATACCCTGGTACCCGGTTCCGCCAAAGCGGTCGCGGTGACATCGTTTGACGGACACACGCGGCCGTGACGGCGCGGACCGCGACCATCGCGGCGATTCGGATTGTGCGCCGGACCCCGGGGCGGTCCTGGTGCCGGGTTTCCGCGACACGGCAACGTCTTGTCGACGTCCGAACAACGCGCGCGTCCGTCCTGCGTTCGCGCGCCGTGTGCCGCGGTGACTCTGTACGGGAAAGCGTTCGAGCAGCGCGCATGGGACCCTGGTCCGCGTGACACTCGAATGAACCAGTGCCCGGATTCGAAACGAGAACGTGACCCGAATAGCACCGGGGCACCGGGGCCGCAGCGCGAGGTCGAAGCAACACCGTAGCCGCCGCCGCCGCCGCCGCCGCCGCCGCATCGACTCCTAGTTTCGGTTACCGATTGCCGTGACGTAACCTTTCCGCCGGCGGTTTTTGGTTATCACGTTGCACAAACGAAATGAAATTAATCGAATTCAACGGGGTTTTACGGCGAACGCGCTCGGAAACGGTATCACCGTGCGTTTATACCGGACGTAGCAGCGGCGATTAGCGGCAGCAACGACTTCGCCGTCTTCGTGAGGTCAGGTTAGGTAACGTGCACGTGCCGTACGCGTGGACTCGAGTACATTGGACCCTAAGTAATAATTCTCCCTCCTTTCGAAGCGCCGATTAAATTCACCGGTCTAGCGATGGTATTGTTGAACGGCCGACAATATAATAATGTGTCGACAGCAATTCAAAAGAAACTCGTCTTAACAATACGTGTGAATCTGTACGGATTTTTCTTTTTCTTTTTCCAGCGTCCGGACATTTCCCAGTGAACAATTTACGAGTATACACACACGCGTGTAGACGTGCCTCATATTTTTTATTTCGCATGATCTCGCATTTAATTAAATGAAGCCCGGAATAAGTAAAAAAAAAAAAAAAAAAAATGCCCGCGGGCCGCGAGTTCCGCCACGGCTCACCTTATACACCTGGTACACTATTTGCGCACTCTTTAGTACGATGGCTATCTCGAAAAAAACCTGCGAAGGGAGAAATACAAAACAATAATTATTTGCGTAAAATAGTTTTGTTAACATATAAATTACTTTTCTACATATAGTCTCCGTTTAACTCTATGTATGTTTTCGGTAACGTAGAACGAGTTTTTGTGTACTCTCCTCGAAAAATTGCACCGCCAGTGTATTTTGGGACGCGATGGCACGCACAGAACTTGAGGTACACGAGTTTTCAGATACGATTTTGTGTAGAGTACTCGGAGAAAATTCGAAAATATCTTGTTGAAAGACGTCTGAAATCGTAAAACGCCTGTTTTCTTGATCAAATTGGTCAACTTGGTGAACCACGACGCGTATAATATTACACATACGCGGTGATTTACGGACATATACGTGGATGATCACATTATACTTTGCGGTGGACGATATTTTACAACCGAAAAAAAAAAAAAAATACTCGTCACAAAAAACATAAAACGTCCTGCGTACGATTTCGAGCCATGTCGAATCGCACGAATTGCGTGTGTGATGTTAACATACTGGTGGATTCGTGAAGCAAAATGTTCATGACATAAAAACTGTGATATTCATACTTCGAAATACCTAAATAATAATAATATTAGAAATTATATTATAAAAATAATACTTGTCGGCGGTGGCAGCGGCGGCGATAACTCGTCAGGTTTTTATTCGGAAACGCGCCGTCACGTCATGGGACCCTGGTAGGTATTTTCACAAAAGTAAGTTGTGGTCCTCTTTCATTATTCTCGTTGTTGTCGGTAAAATTAAGGTTAGGTTAATAATTTCTTCTTTTTTTTTTTAATGTTATTACGTGATTAACGAACGTCAACAGCTGACCTAATTTTGAAATTTGAATTTTTTTTTTTTTTACCAACAATTAATCAATGGTATGCGACGACAAGTCATAAAGACTAAATCCAAAAAGTCGATTTTCAATTAATATAATTAATTGCCACTACAATAATAATAGGGTTCAATTTTGATGCACGTAATTTTTTTTTTTTTTTTAAATACAGGGGGATTTTTTTTTTTATTGTGAACGCAATTTTCTCGGTGATTTTAAGTGAATTTGATTTTTTTTTTTTTTTTGTTAGTCATTCTGGAATCGGTTGACCCGGTTTTATTTTCCATGTACCTTTATTATAGGTACATTATAAGTACAAGTTTTTCGATTATAAACCCCCCTTGTTTGAACACACAGTCGACAGTTTGTTTATAAATCAGAAATCTGTTGCCCACAAAGTAGTTGAAAACGGAAATGCTCTCGTACAGTCGTCGTGAAGACGAGTGCGTGGAAAATGTCTAGTCGAGCAGACCAAGGCGGGAAAGGAATCACGGAAATCGATCACGGTAGTCCGGAGAGAGAGAGAGAGAGTCCAAAGTGGGACATGCGTGGGCGTCCCGGCGTCATTGAAAACCACTTCTCGGATACCAGGGGATCATGCGCACCCGACCGAACGTCTCGTACCGTCTTCTCGTTTGAGAAATAACGTGTTCTGATAACGGCGCCACCGCAGCGTATTTGGTGAACATTCCTACCAGGGTCCCGTGTGGACGCGCGTCGCGTTTGTCGGGCGTACGGGAACCGCGCGCGTTGGCCGCCGCCGCCGCCGCCGCCGCCGAACGGAGAGTCACGTCGAACACGCAGCGGCGTATTTACCGAGGGGAGATATTAATGATTGTTATTGATTTTCATACGACTACCTATTTATGAATTCAAATTTCTTTCCTTATCGCAGAGAAAATCAACAATTATTCATTGTGTTTACGGTATCCACGAGAAATGGAAAATGAATCCGAACGCATAGTATATTAATAATTTCCGGAATGATACGAAATGATACAAGAGTTTAAAATAAACATAAGTGACAAAATCAAAAAAAAATCAGTAAGTAATTCCAATGATGATGATCGAAAAACTATCTATACAGAGCTAATTATTAAATTTTCTCGGTCATTTTTAATTAATACAAATAACATTTCAAAATTATTTTAAATAGGTATTTAAATTAATTGAGAAGATAATTCATTACTAATGACAATAAGTACACTACCTCAAGTCGAGAGAGGACCGGTGTTACTATCCCGATCATGTCTATAAACATTATAGTTATTAAAACCCAGTTCATAAGATTTCCCTTTTTCAGAGTAGAATTTTTAGATTATATTCTTCGTATGGTTCTTTATTTTCATTTTCATTTATAAGTTTTCTGTCAACATTTCAAGACTACAAATACTTTTAAGTTTTAATTGAACAACAACAACAACAACAACGAAAAATAAAAAACAAAATTTACAAAAATTGTAATCATTACTTCCGTAAACTTTTTCTACGGTATTTTTCCGGATTTGTTAAGTAATATAAAAACAAAAAGGAAAATCAAAAACCGACTTTCTTATCAAATAACTTAGATTAAAAATGCAACAAAAGTGGGCTTTCGTCGTTTTTCAATTAAAATAGAGAATTCCAGAGGGGTCTATATAGACCCCCAGAAGTTTATTCTGACCTGCAAAACGAAAATTTCATCGAATAAAAATTGGGGATGCATAAGATGTAAATAGGTGTAATGAATGAAATCAGGTCTACGAAAAACAGAACAAATCAGCAAATGGTGTGTGGGGGGGAAAAAAAAGTTTGGGAATCTCTAGATTAGAAAAATATTTCTGGTTGAAAACATAAAGCGTACAATTTTAAATGGATGAAATCGTAAGCCGTTAATTTGTTAGTTTTAATTTTTCGTCTTTTTTCGGGTTTTCCCAATTATTATAAAAACTGCTGGGAAAATCAAAAAAACGAGTTACTTCCTCAGCAACTAGATCCAAACGGTAACAAAAAAGGTACTTGGCATCTTAGTAGTAGAAAACATCGTGCGTACAAATTAAAAACAATGAAATCGATTACTGGTGTATAATAACTCGATAATTCGTAAATACTTGCCATTTTTCCTACTATTTTGTTTCTGGGTTTATTTTTTTTTTGTAACGATATTAAAAGTTAATGACTTAACAACAACAAAATAACAAAATAGTTTATACATTTAACAAATTTAATATTTGACCAAAGAAAAATATATATTTTATTAACGCATTATTAAAATATCGGTAAAAACAATTTTAAAAATATAGGTTAAAAACTGTCTCGTAAAGTTATAAACTTTAAAATTTAAAGTACGATTATATTTGTAGCTGTAATGAAATAAACAATTTATAAATATTTCAAGTAGGTTAGAAAGTAGGTAAATTCTATTTCCTTCAATATAAATGTTAAACATTTCTTTGTTCACAAATATTATGTGGTTAATACGTACTTACATTGTAGATTTTAGTTAGGATCATAAAAGCCAAGTCGACTAAAACCAATTTTGCTCACAAATTTATTCACAAGTATGAATTTCAAATGATATACAACATCCAATAAATGTAAATAGGAATATTCAACTTTTATTTTGAATTTTAAAATGAATTATTTTCATCATACCATTCAATTTGTCATTGACAATTATAATTACAATATAATATTATTATGTTTATCAAAATAATAAAATACTTTTAAAGTCTTTAGAATATTTTTTGAGTAATTGATACCTATTAAAAAAAAAATTTTATATTATTATTATTTTTAAAAAAAATCAGTCTTTCTTGTGTGATAATGAACAGTGGATCTTAATTATAGGTAGATAACTAAATGTAACTAAATTGAATTAAATAAAAAAAAAAACTATGTACTAAGTTGCCACACTTTATATATATCAAATATATCATTGACACTGTCCATAAACATACAAAAATTTATTATTTTATAATTCAATATCATTTTGATGTAAATACAAATTCATATTTAATAATAAATAGTATATTTTATATATTTGACAAATATACAATAGTAAAATATATTTTTCATTCTATACTATATAAATTAACAACAGCACAGTGAAAATGATGCACAAAAAATGTAATTTTATATGATTTTCCAAGGGGTTTTCGAAATAATTTTTCCAAAGGAAAATTATAGGTAAAACGGTATACATGTACGGTGTACCATAGCGTTACTGTTTACATTATTTTTGTTGCGTTTACATGATATTTTTAACCAGAAGTAATGCTCCAACCCAAAAATGACAAGGGGTGAATTTTATTCCTATTAATATATGGCCACTAACAGAGTAAATCGTTTTTCAATATCCAAAGTAATTTTTGTGATAACTAGGAAAAACCAAAAAACATATTTGTTTTTCTAGACATGGTAAATGGTTTAAATTATTTGAGCCATTTTTGAGCTATTAAGAGGTATTTTAGTTTTGAAATTTGTTTACATTATTTTTATTTGATAGGTACTTTGTGAATAAAATTGTTAAGACTAAAAAAAAATGTTTGACAATTTGACAGGACGTTCATTGCAAGTTGTCTTAAACTAACATTTACTTTATTCAAAAGTCTAAACTTTAAAATCCAATTTGTGTTACTATTAAAATTTATCTGTACAAGAATACAACAGCTAGTACTAGAATCAGGTACTTATATAGTTATTATTATTCAAAAAAAAATAATAAACAGCAAATAATTTTACGTTTAGAATTTTTATTATTTAAGTTTTGATAATACAGAAATATACAAATAATATTTAAGCACAGTAATGATAATTGAGAGTATTTTTCTTATAAATGGCATTGATAATTATTTTAGTACACATGTTACATTAATACACATGTGTTTCATTAATACAAAACGACGAGCATTTGGGTTACATTAATATTATAATAAAACAATTTAGTATACAGTTCCACTTGAAATAACAAAAAAAAAAGAAAAAAAAACATCAAATACCAAAATAATTATTAAAATATACTTAAACTTAATGTCTAGCGAAAAAAATCACTTTGTAAATTATTTCAGTCTAATATACATTATAAAAATCTAATTTATTAAAAAATATAAATAACTTAATTTTACTTGATATAAGTATATAATATATATACTGTAGACAAATTAATTAATTATAATTTATAATAATAGCCATATAGGTTATTATTCAAATGAAAAAAAAAAAAACATATGCGTATAATGAACTCTTATCACAATAATTATAATATTATAACATTAACTCAAATTAAGTATCTTCATTAATAATAATAATAAAAAAATTATACTAGAGATCTATCTCAACAACAATAATTTTTTTTTTTTTTTTTACTAACCAATTTACGTTTATTGATACAAATTATGTAATAAAATAAATATAGTATTCATTGAGCAATACAATTTCAAAAATTCCATCTTCATTGTATGTTACATATTACACAAAATATTATTAATACAATTTGTCAGCAAAAGGAATGTTTTTGACGGCTGAACTTTTGTAGCCGGTTCGTGAAGACAAAAATTTAAATAACAATTCTAAATATAATATCCTGTTATTTGTTCTTAATGGAAATATAAATAATAGCAATGAGCTTAAAATCCATCAATAAACATTGTTCACATTCTACTAATATTTATACAGAGTAGTAGTAGTTCAATATTTAAACATTGATAGTAAAAAAAAAAAAAACAACCGTATTTTATCCTATACATTATGTGTGCCTCGCTCTAGCATTATATCATATTCAACAATGAATATTGTGTTTGCAGAAGGCACTGCAAGTCATAAGAATTTTTTTATACAAAATAAAAAATAATTTTGATTTACACCATACCTAATATAGAATCTAATGACCAGTCTCTGCCATATTTAGACCTACATATGGCAAAACATTAAACAAACAATATTGTTGATATATATTTTTTTTTTTTACATTGGATGCCATTTATAAAAGTTTAAAATTAATGAAATCAAAATTAAATATTACAGAAAAAAAACACAATACAAATACTGAGTAGGCATTATCCATTTTAAAAACAAAATCGAAAACTATTGTAGTTCATGACGTAATTGAATACTGAATATGACATGTTTAAACAATGTTGTTTAGACTAAAGTTGTAACACGATTTAGGAGTTCACCAAAATAAACCCACACTCGATGTAATGATATTATAAACAATGATTGGTCACAAGTAAAAAACAATTTACATTTTTACTCTCCAACACTGAGACCATCGACTATAGTAGTTTCTATTTATTGTACGTGATCGTGATCAACGTCGTTGTTATATCTACTTCTGGTGTAGGTCACCGGATACGAACCTATCACCAAAACAGATACCATGCTGCCAAAGAGATGATATTTACTTCATGCTGTGTATGATATCCGAAATGCTTGTGGTCACGCCAATGATAAACGCGAAAATGGCGATCAGGACGATTAACAAGTTTCGCAGGCAGAATAAACCAAAACGCAAGTTTCCTTCTTTTTTGTAAACGTCAGCAAATGTCAGGAAATTAATGATGGCAGGCAACGCGATTCCCACTGACGACAAACAGAACGCACCGATCAGTGAGATCAGATGTTCCAAATTGGGTATGGCAACAGCTAAGAAAACTGTGTAAAAAGAACAAAAAAACCATATGATCAAGTCGAGTTCAATATTGTTGAACGGTATTTATTATTAATAACAAAATTGTCTGTCTAATATTCTTAAAGGGAATATTTCGTTCAGAATTTTTGAAAATATGTTAAAATGTATTGGTTTTACTTACATGTAGTGATTACTATGGACGTGCGGAGCACGTACTCCCAGCAGATCGTGTGCTCGTTCTTTTCCATTTTTTGTTCGACGCCTTTCCATATGATATCGAACGCGACGTAGTTGGAAAGTGCGTAACAAATGTATATGGACACAGACAGCAATAGTTTGACGACATGAGAGAGTCTATAATAATAATAATAATAATATTAAAAAACATGAAAATCGTTTTGAAATCTTGTTGCAGGTATTCTATTGGACTTATAATAACGCGTTAAAATATACTTACACTTCTTCTGAGGGCAAGTCGAGTGTTATACTACCAGTAGTATTTTCACCATATTTCAGATAGCCCAGTAATCCGACGAACGTGTACAACAAAGAAATGGGCAACATGGAAAAGTTCAACACGCCGAACATGCTACCGAACTTTTTGGGGTTCTTCATTTCATTTTCCAGTGGTAAAACCTACATAAATAATTATATTATAATAATGTGATGTAGTGGTTATTAAGCAAAAGTCGTTCATAACGACAATGCAAAATATTTTTATAATTTTTTTTTTTTGCATCTTACCATGCCGATGGCTTCCATTGCGAAGAGTACTGTGCCGAAGAACAGAGGTATGCTCTTGATGGTTCCAACCGGTTCACGGCCGGCGAAAGACGGCGCCTCCCGGAAGATGTAGTAGAAGATGATCGAGAAACTCGCTATGGTCAAGCAATTTGCGATAGACGAAAATGGCGCCAGAAGTTTTAAATTTCTAATCCAAGAGATCAATATCAGCGGTACCAATATGTATACCATGTACATCCGTACGTCCACCGCAGTACCGCCTAAATAGAAATCACCGATCTGAAAAACGTGAAACAAATGAAAATCTGTTTTTTGACTAGTGGTTACACAAAACAAAATGTCACTCGCTTACCGCTTTGAGATTACTGGCTATGAACACAACGTAAATACAACTGGAACCGATTTGGTACAAGACTAGGAACAAATTTGTAATCATACTGTAAACATGAAAAAAAAAAAAAACACGAATATTAATAATTGCTGTCGGTATAATATAAAACACCTATGCGAGTTTGTATACGGGTAAAGGTCGGGGGTTTTATTTAAATGGCGTGTGCAACGTAATGAAATATTATATCAGACGGGGTAGGTAATGTATGCTTTACCTGGCGTATGGAGCCAATTTCCTGGTGGCTTTCGGACCCTCTTCGAAAGCCGCCGCCGCCGTACCGGAATATGTTAAACTGGGTATTTTTCTTTTCACGCACAGTTCGTAAGACGCCGTTATCTAAACACACCGATAAGCAAACAATATTATTATAAGAATAAATTAAGTTACCTATATTATTATAACCACGTTAACAGAAACCGCGTGTGTAAAGGGGCCGTCTCGTTTACTCACCAATAGATGAATCGTGTATGTGCACAGAATACCGATGATGATAGTTCCCAGTGTACCGACGACGTATCCCGCGTTTTTAAAAGCGCTGGGCATAGCCAATATTCCCGTACCCAAACTGGCCTTCAGGAGATGTATCAGAGTGTCGAAGTATCTAGAAAAAAATATCCAAAACTCGTTAATAAAACACAGTAACCAATGGAATAATATACTGCAGATTGTGATCGCCGACCACTGTTCAGCGGTTTCCACTTACGAGGTGGGGTGTTTTACATCGCGGTGCTGGTACGGATCGTAGAAATTTTGTTTTCCATTGGCCTGGATAGAATTAGCCACAATGCACTTGTTGAGACTGTCCATGTTAATGCTGTAACAAGTAGACAAAAGAAAAAAAAAAAAAAAAACACTTTAGTCGTGTGTCGTTAACGCATCAGGCTTATAATAATATACTAATACTATGCATACATATTTAATTTGTATGATATACACTCTACGCAACTACATAAGTCTAGACGTTTTACCATAATTTAAACAGAAATCCTATGTATTAGTTATTAATCCCATTCGTGTTTAATACGGATCTAAAGCATTCCGAATTTATTACGAGGATTTTTGGATTTACCATAATCCGGTAAATCAGTTCTAATAAATTCGGTCCTATAATATTATACCCGTACTTGCTATTTTCGACGGTTTTAATTTGAATTCGCGTTACGTTAATCGTGGTAAATGTTGTTGACTATCTGTTATTAATACTATCCGTGAATTATATAGTACAAGTATATCATATGACCATACATTAATGGCCACCACGAATTATACGATTGCTCGGCAGAATTAACGATTTTTGATATACGTGTAGGGAGATATTACAATTTTATACAGGTATCCACAATTTTAACCGAACACATAGATTATAATGTACAATAAATTAATTTATGGAATGTAATGATAAATAAATAAAAACACAACATAGTATGAGTGTCGGATGATAAGGAATAATAGAAAATCGTACGATGTGTTAATACAAGTTACACAGTTACGTACGATAATTTCCACGATATTTAAACAGTTAAAGGGTCAAGAGTTAAATACTGATTAATCAAAACATAACAAAATAAAAGGCAGATATAGGTACTTTAATTTACAATTTCACCACCATGCGAAATGATTGTACTC